GGCACTTGGCAGTCGCATATGCTGAGAGCTGACAATCAGGCTTCTGAGGATAACATTGTTCCATACACTGACCCCATCTTGAAGAACAATCCCAAGGAGCATTGCGCCTTTTTACATGAGCTCTCGAAGAGAAACATGATTAAGTATAGACTCGCGAACGGTGAGAAGGGTAAGTTGGGTGTTTTCTTTGTTGCCAAGAAGAGCGGTCAGTTGAGACTTATTTTTGACACCAGGCTGCTCAATCAAGCATTCCATGATCCTCCCTCAACAGACTTGCCTTCAGCAGATCCTTTCACACGACTGGAGATGCAGGAGGGCTCACAATTTTACATCGCTTCTGGAGACCCTTCAAACGCGTTTTATACTTTGCAAGTCCCCCCGCACCTTGGAGAGATGTTCCCACTGCCCGCTGCCCAGGCTGGAACCTTGGGCATTACGGCCATCGACGGCATCAGCGTGGAGCCAAGTACTCAGATTCTTCCCTACTTGACGGTCTTACCTATCGATGGCCGTGGGCGCCCCACTTGTGTCAGATGGTGCTTATGCATGGTATCCGTAGCGCTGGTTTCCCTGAGCATTGCACCATTGGTGACAAGCGGTTGCCGGTAATTGCATGTACAAGGTTCAACTGGTGTTGGCGTTGCAGGTTATGTCGACAACTTCGGGGTTTTTGGGAGCAGCAAGCAGCATGTTGACCAAGGCCTTCGAAGGATCTCTGAGACCTTGAGGGGCCGGGGTCTGACGGTGCACGAAGACGAGGAGGCATCCTTAACTGGTGACTTTGTTAGTCTTCACTTCAATGGGGCTACTGGTTATGTTTCCATCAAGCCTTCAAGGTTGATCAAGATAAAAGCTGGTATTGATGACCTCCTTCGAAGACAGTTTTGCACTGGCCGAACCTTGCAGTTAGTGTTAGGGCCATGATGACCAAAAAAGAAGGTTTTTCTCTCCTGCACCAATCCTGCAGTTTTTGTCGCAAACATCTTGATGAGAACGTTCGACTTTGGCCTTCTGTGCGTAAAGAACTTAGCTGGATATCCTCGCTTCTGCTTCTTTTTCGGATGAAGCTGAATTGTGGTTGGAGTGATCATGTCATGGCTTCATTCTCTTCACCATGGGGGGTAGGTGTGTGTTCTCGAAAACTCGATGTTGCAACAGTACAATCATTTGGCAGAGTTAGCGAGAGATGGCGGTACAGATTTGAAGATGCTGCTCGTGCCCGCAAGCATGCGCTTGTGCGAGACCTCAGCTGAGCCTGGGTCTGACGGTGTTGCACAAAAGATGACCCCGGTGATGACCCCTCCTTCAGCCGATTCATCATTGACAACGGTTTTAATGCGGTTCCTGAATCTATCAATCTATCATGAAGCGGGGTGATTGGTCAGTTGTGTGGTCCCGTCCATGGAAGTACCAAGCAAACATTCTCAACACAGATCTTCGAAGCACGCGGGCTTGCATGGTCGATTGAGCACCTTCTCAGGGTCAGTCGGTGCATCAACAAACGACTCCTTTGCTTTAGCGACAACCTTCCTCTTGTGCTCGGCTAGGGCTAAGTCTGCTCATCTCACCAAACCTCTGCGCAAGATTGCCGGGCTTTGCTTCGCTACTGGTTCAAGAGTTTCTGTGAGGTGGGCTGCGTCGGAGCTGAATGTTGCCGACGAACCATCGCGTGCTATCGCAGCCTGGAAGTCTCCAGGCTGGGAACGCTGGTGGAATGACTTTGAGAAGGACGTTGACTATCGACCAAGACAACCTGGGCCTTTCAGTCACAGTCAGCAGAAGCCACCGACGGAATCTGCTGAGAAGGCTGAAGGTCAAGGAAGCCACAGCCGCGCCGCCTTCTTTGACTTACCTGGAAACGAGGAGTGTGAGGCCCCCAGCCATCAAAGACTACCAGAAAAGATAGCAGAAGTTCACCCAATGTATGACTCAGGTAGGGCTTTAGCAGTGAACGATCAAGAGCTCAATTGGTGCCTGGTAGAGTTCATGAACGAGATGTTCGAGCGTGGGGAGGGGATCGACACCGGCGTGAGGACTCACGCTGCTCTGAGATTCTTCTACCCACACATCGGCCGTCCCTCAACAGGAACGCTTCCACGAAGCATCCAAGCCCTGAAAAGGTGGACGGCGGCCGCGCGGCCGTGCCGCCTCAGCAGCGGCTTCCGTTGCCAATCGAGGCCCTGGGCGTCATCATGATGGAGCTGATTGTCAAGGGGAAGCCACAGTTGGCACTCAGACTCTTTGTGCAATTCCTGACGTATCTTCGACCTGGAGAGCGCTCAACACTGAAAGTACAGCAGCTGGTGCCTCCACAGATCGGGGGCGGCGGCCGCTTTCAAAATTGGGCCATTCTTCTCCATCCAACCAAGGATGGGGCGCCTGGAAACACTGGAGTCTTCGATGCGATGGTGGTGATCGACTCGGGCCCTTGGATCAGCCAACGCCTAGCGAGCCTCATTCAAGGGAAGCAGCCAAACGATAGCTTGTGGTCCGACCCGCATCATGTGCTGGTGGCCGAGCACCGCAAGGTGACGGAGATGCTGGGTTTGCAGAGCCTAGGAAGCTGCCTATACACCCTTCGTCATGGAGGCCACGCACGACAGTGACCAGACGCCGGTCTACGCTGGAAGTGAAGCAGAGAGGCCGTTGGGCTTCGGACAATTCGCTGAAACGATATGTCAAGCTTGCTTGCCTTCAATGCGAGCAGTCCAAGATGTCTCCAGCTCTGATCAAACGGGGCCAAGATGTTCTCAAGGCACTTCCCGAACTTTTAAGCCGAAACCTTGTATCTCTATAGGACTCTAGGAAGTCCTATGCCATGCCGGGAATCACCGCAGGCTGCAAAGAAAGCAGCTGCTTGCCCGGTATAGGATTCTCAAAGTCTACTGCCAAATCCAAAATGTCCAGAAGCCAGATTTTGCAGTCTCTTTTCAGGCAAGCTGTTCAGGGTGCCAAGTTTCGCAAACGACTTGTTTTTCTTGATCTTTTTTGCGGTGATGGTGGCGTTTCTAAAGCCATTCGTAGACAGGGTTTTGCTGTTGTTTCAATTGACATCAATAACCACCCCAAGCTTGACCTGTGTGCACCTGACGTGCAAAAACTGATTTTTGGCTGGATTCGCAGCCGCTGCATCATTGGAGTTTGGCTGGCCACTCCTTGTACCACTTGGAGTCGTGCAAGGCATGGCCCAGTCGGCAGTTCATGGGGACCTCTTTGTGATAAGCGTCACTTGTTTGGGCTTCGCAGATTGTCCCCCAAAGATTGTGATAAGATTCGCACTGGTAACGCTACTGCCCTTTTCACCTTGGAAGTCACTCGGCTTTGCCAGCTTTTTCATGTGCCTTGTTTGCTCGAGAATCCCAGTGGCTCCATGCTTTGGAAACTTCCCAAGCTAATTGGTTTATGTGATTGGTTTTTTTCTGTCTCTTTCGTCACCTATTTTTTGTCAGCATGGAGCACGATGGAGAAAGCGCACCAGAATCCAAAGTTTGCATTCACCTGACATTCCTCCTTTTCATCGGCGGTGCTGTGGTCATGGGGGGATTTGTAGTGCCACTGGTAGTATCATGTTGTTCTTAAGGGGCATGATCCCTGTTTCCAAGTTGTTGTGGACTCACCTTGCTCAACCTTATCACCCCAAATTCGCACTAGCCGCAGGAAATGCCATGTTACACGCCGCAGATGACATGTACCTCTATCCTTCGACAGCGGTATGGCAACTAAGCTAGCCTTTGAGTGAACTCTATTTCTCTTTCGGCTTCACCAGTTTTCCGCTATGAGACTCCAAGGCAATTGGGGTGAAATGTCAGCGCCTGGCTCTTTGAAATCAGCCGCCTGATGTTGGATCACGCCTGCAGTTGCCATGTCTCAGATGAAAAGCGAGCTGGTGGATGGGAAGTGGAAGTGATTTAAGTTCTTGAATTGTTTTCACTGACATGTGAATCCGACGTTCACGCAATGCTACCTCTCAAGTTCTCCCTGCCGCTATGCTATATCCCTCCCCTTGAGGGTGCCTTGAAGTGAAATGTCCGTGCCTGGCTCTTTGAAATCAGCCGCCTGATGTTGGATCACGCCTGCACTTGCCATGTCTCAGATGAAAAGCGAGTTAGTGGATGGGAAGTGGAAGTGAGTAACATTCCAATTGTCAGGGGCTCAAACTGCACACATTCTAGCGCCCACTGAGTTATTTTCCCAGTGGTGTGTTTTCAGGGCCCACCTTAGCTTTCCGGGGGGTAGGTAGACAAGTTCAACCTCCACCTCTGCTTGGTAAGCCTTTGAATTACAGTTCTAGCTAGCAATGCAAAGGCCCTGGAATGGTCAAGATCCCTTTGATGGACCAGGTCCTGTCCCACAACAAGGTCACTACAAGAGCTCCCGTAACCGTGGCAAATTTCAGTACGTTGACGTGTTGGGCGCCCCTGATCGGTTTTTTGCAGTGAATTTCCACCACCAGGAGTTCATCAGACTTTGAGGCCATGCTGCAACAACGCTTTGCGCCAGCAGCTGCGGCCGTTGCCGGGAAACTCTATGTTTGCGGCGGAGCTGACGAACCTAGCATGACCAGCGCTTGAGTTCGATGCACAACACGTAGCGTCAAATGACGGGTTGTGAAAGGTTACTTGTTAAAGCCTTGCATGGCCTCACCTCTTTGATTCGCTGAGGATCGTGGCCAGCTAGATTCCGTCGTGCCATGACGGCATTCAGTGCCAATTGTTCAGCCACAATCAACACAGTTGCCTTTCCAGGAGTGCTTTGATCCTGTGAGGGAGTGCTGGGGGGAGATCCCCTCCATGCATTTTGCAAGAGTTCGGGCTGCTGCTGCAGCTGTTTCAGACTAAAGCAGGAAGAAACCTCGCACGCCCACCACCGAAAAGACGCACAATTTCTTGCAGCGTGTTTTTTCTGTTGCAATGATAGCGGGCCATGAGGTACGTGGATAAGTTTGTCAAGCTTGGCGCTTTGACAGGTTTCCAAGTTCGAACGAATGCTCCCATTGACAGGCGGAAGTGGAGCGGTATCGTCAGCAGCTTGAAAAAGCTTGTGAGCAGCCTGAGGCGTGAGATTGAATCAACGCGGCACATTGAGAGGCAGCTGTATTTTGACACACCAGGTTCTCCAGATGAAGTGCGACAGGAGGCGCATGGAGCTCTTAGAGGCTGCAGCTCATCAGGACCAGATTGCTTCGAGAGTAGAGCACGCTGACAATTGCAGTGCTATATATTTATAGCGACGGACTGAAAGTTAGAATGCGTTTTGACCCCGATTGGGTTTGGCGCGCGGGGAGGCCTTATTTGGTAGCATTCTAAGTGTCCGTCAGTGTCCTGGAGTTAGAATGTTTCAAAAGTTATTTAGAATGGTTCCAGGGTTGTGGTGTGGTGTGGTTTTGATGATGTTGTCATGCGGCTCAGATGAAGCATAGTGCAAGAAGTGAAAAAATGTGAACATGTCAAGGGCTGAGAATTGAGAGCATACAAGAATCCATATGGGAGAAGGAGCATACAAGAATCCATATGGGAGAAGTGAGTTAGAACAGCTCAGCAGAAACATTCACACGGCATGATGAAGAAGGATGTGTGCTGAAGTGAAGTCTGAGGGAAAGCCCAATCAAGCCTTCGTTCACCCTCCGCTTCCTCTTAGGCCCTCTCCCCGTACTTATCCTTTCCTCTTTTTCCGCGTCCCTTTTGCCTCTCCTTTCACATTGAAAGCGACTTAGAATGCGCCCAGAAAATAACATATTATATAGCTGAGAATGATGAAGAATCAAACATTGCCCAATCTCAGGCCTTCCTGCACTTTCCTCCTTTGGCTGGGGCCCTCTCCCCGTCCCATTCCCTTTATATACTCTCCCATTCACTGTACTCCTTTTGTTTCTCCTTTCACTTAGGAAGCTAGAATGGAGGGTGTGCCCTCTTCAGTCAGGCAATGCGGCATTTCCCAATCTCAGACCAAACCTGCTCAACTGCTGGAGCACTCCAATCTAAAACTATATGTGTATGGCACACATACATATAATCCCACAGTGACGGACTGAAAGTTTAAAGGGGGCACCCCACATTCTTACTGGGCGTTTTTTCTCCCGGCGTGCTGAGCATTCTAACTGTATGCTGAAGTGAAGTCTGAGGGAAGGCCCAATCAAGCCTTCCTTCACCGTCCGCTTCCTCTTAGGCCCTCTCACCGTGCTTGTCCTTCCTTCTTTTTCCGCATCCCTTTTTTGCCTCTCCTTTCACATTGAAAGCGACTTAGAATGCGCCCAGAAAATAACATATTATATAGCTGGGAATGATGAAGAATCAAACATTGCCCAATCTCAGGCCTTCCTGCACTTTCCTCCTTTGGCTGGGGCCCTCTCCCCGTCCCATTCCCTTGGTATACTCTCCCATTCACTATACTCCTTTTGTTTCTCCTTTCACTTAGAAGCTAGAATGGAGGGTGTGCCCCCTTCAGTCAGGCAATTCGGCATTTCCCAATCTCAGACCAAACCTGCTCTGCTCAACTGCTGGAGCACTCCAATCCAAAATTATATGTGTATGACACACATACATATAATCCCACAGTGACGGACTGAAAGCTTAAAGGGGGCACCCCGCATTCTTACTTCGTTTATTCTCCCTGCGTGCTGAACATTCTAACTGTACATGATTTATTTTTTGGAACTCGCCGACCCATTCTAACTTTCAGTCCGTCACTATAAGTACTTCACTGCCTTTCCCTTCCTGTGTTCTGACTACGTTCCATGGGGCATTGAAGATCACAGCCTTCGGGAGATGTGGAACACAAATTGGGTATTGTGGAGGAATCCTGGAGCGAAAGAACGCACGAATCAGCAGAGTCGGGAGGCGAGCACTCGTGCAATGTCAGGATTGGCATGTTCCTCAAAACGATTGAAGACTGTCTATAACACTAGTGCCTCACTTGACAGTTGCTTCCAGCTAGCAGCTAGACGATGGGGTCTCCTAGAAACTGTACTTGTAGTGCACCAAACGAGGGGGGAACCGTGGGGAACCGCTTTGAATTCTGCATGCTGCATGATACCCTCAACAAATCACAGTTACACACAGTCACCGGAATTTGCCTTTTTTGTTGTTGCTCCTGTTCATGTAGAGACGGGGTGTTTTTTTAACGCACCTGTCAAGTTTTGTGCGACAAGTTGTAGACAACTCTCGCCAGAACAGCAGGATGATCACACAGTGACATACAGAGGGATACAATTTTCGACAGTGTTCAGAAACAGTGACTACGATTAAACAGAATGACAGATGCACAATCAGGAGCAGGAGCACTTGGTGCTAGTGGCAGCCAGGATTACTGTAACTGCTTCAGCCCCGTACAATAAGACAAAACTAATTTTTGTTTTTCTTTGTTCTTAGTGAAATCGAAGCACACGTATCAAGGAATAATACACTGCCCGAAGACTGATGTGCCCACAGGGAGGCTCAATTTGGAGGAAGGATTCCAGGTTCCGCCGTGAGGTGCAGTTGCCAAGCTGGACATTTTCTCACTGTAGCGTTGGCATCAGGCTTGCCAGTGGGTTTCATGCCAATTCCACCTGGTGACGGTGAGTTTGTGACGGCTAAAAACTCCACAGATCACCAACATACAATACCCATCGCAGCAGATTAGCTTTGCCTGGAGGTTGCTCAAGACCTACCTGCATGCAATTCAAGAAGCATTCATGTATATATATATATATGGGATTATATGGGAGTTGATCTAAGACCCCGTGTAAGGAGTTTTATATAAAACAGCCTCTCAGATGGTGTTAAAACCATCCGCGAAAGATTCGCGATGAGGTGCGCGAATGTATGTTTTTTATGCGAAAGATTTATCGAAGGTCAACGCTTTCATATCGATCAACCACCATATACCTACTTTGGCTGCTACCTGGATCAGGTCCTGATGTTTGTAGGGAACCAGAGCCTTTGCGAAAAGGCTACGCCGCTACGCACCTGAAATGTAGCGGAGGAGAATATGGCGTGAACGCCTTCCCGGTTTTGTCCTTCTAAAGCGGGCACCATTGATGGGTAGTTGATGGCTCTTGAATCGACTGCATTTGCAATGGGCGCGGACATATCATATGTGCAAGGCAATGTTGTCGGCAGGTGGTGAAATAAATTGAAAACTCAATTGTAGTTCTCGGATGTGGGAAGGCTTGAAGGAAGTGCGCAACAAAGCAGCACCCGCTGAAACATAAGTAGTGCGTAGAGTGTAGAGGAGGCACTGGTTCCAAGATCAATGTGCACGGCCAAATGTGTAGAGATTTGTCAAGGAGTTTTATATAATGATTTTTAATGACACCACTATTTTTGAAGCAGTAGCGGCGAACCAATCATTGCCACAGGTGACACTGTGAGCACAGGCGGCCCAGAGGCGGGAAGGCTATGGGAATTCTCTAATTAAGTAAATGACTAGATGTAGCCGCCTCAGCCAATGCGGCCTGGAGCAATTCAAGGCTAGAGATAGCTTTGGTGCTGATTTGCAGATTTGCAGCTCCCCAAAATGGAACGTGCCCCAAGAGATCTAGAAATCAAATCCCTGCTACTTACTTTACTTGGCTTGTATGCTTGTTAGCTCACCTTAGTGACCTAGCGGCCTACCCCCCAAGGCTTCAACAATAAAGAGAGAGAGAGAGAGCACCGCCGGATGTGACTATATAAGGTGTTTTGCAAGCTACATAGGTTTTTGCAAGCAAGGAAGCAGCACAAGCCATGGAAGACAAACCAAGAGAGGCAGGATATTTGACATTTTTGTCAGTTGCCACCTTGTGATTCATGTTGGAAGCGTGCTGAACCACGCATGCAAGAGTTGCACAAGTGCCGAAGAGCCACCAAGACGTGCGCAACTTCATTGCTCAATGCAAAGGATGCTAAGTCAGGGAAGGAAAAGGAAGAGGTGACGGTGAGAGCCCTCCCCAAAGATGCCAAGGACAATCAGCACTTTTTTTTGACATTTGGCACCACTTCATTGCCGAAAGCTGCATGGCTGCACAACGTCCAGGATTCAAAGAAGGAGGACAGATCCAAGGCGGACAACACAAATGAACACACAACACCAAGCATTCCCAACTATGCACTACGTCCTACGTGGCAACATGCATCATTTTCTCCAGAGAGACCTTGCGACAGACGTATTGGCGCTCAAGGTAAAGCAGAAAGTGCAAGAAAAGGAGAAGGATAAAGACAAAGACAAAGATAAAGACAGAGAGAAAGATAAGGAAAAGGGTAAGGAGATGGAGAAGGAACGAAACAAAGAAAAGGATGGAGAAAAGGACAAGGAAAGGGAGAAAGAAAAGGTGGCCGACAAGGAGAAAGAAAAGGAGAAGGGAAAGGAGGGTAAGGACAAGACGGAGAAGACCAAGGATAAAGAGTCAAAAGAGAAAGAAAAGGAAAAAGAGAGGGACAAAAAGGCCAAGGACGAGAAGGCCCCACTACTTTGTTATTTGCGGAGGGAGGGTTGAGCGGGGGTGCATTGGAGGTAGAGCCCCCTTTTTTGTGATAAGGACAAAGACAAAGATAAAGGAAGAGCTAAGGACGAGAAGGCCCATATGATATGCAGACCTGCCCATGTTTTTCCCTTTGGATCTTTCTTAATCGCACATCCATAGGAGAAGGAGCGCAGGAAGAGGAGCACTGTTTGCGGTAAGGGGACATGGTATTGTCATCCAGCAATAGAAACTGGTTCTTGGAATCCTTGGAGGAGTCGTGATCGTGATCGCAGTTCCTCGCAGAGGCGGATATGGAAATGTATAAGTAAGTAGTAAATTAAGTATATACTCCTCCAACCTAATAGCGATGGCCTCCAACCTACTAGCAATGGCCTCCTACCTAATAGCGATGGCCTCCTGTATTATATATATGCACATGCTGCACTTGCTTATGATATATATATATATGATGCATATATATATATATAAGTGTGCTGTGTGTCGGGAACGTTAAGCGTTGTCAAGCCGCTGAAGAGAGCAGCTCCTTTAACTTGAGTTATCCGGGAAGCAAGCAAAGTGGAACTACCACTGACAACTACTTTGCTCGGCTTGGGTCTCGACTACTTCTGAAGGCGATACTACCAGCAAAAAAGGGCTTGCAGTCGGTCTTGAACGTTGCCCCTTTCTGCCATGTTGTTATAGAATGAACCCAGTGCCGCCGCCAGGAAAAGGAAAGCAAGCCCTGGGCGTGCACAGAAGAAGCGGTGAGAACACTGTACTGTCTCCACCAATTTCATATTTAATCTAATGTCATCAATATGTTTCACACCCAAGCAGGTTTGTGGGTTGAGCATTTGAAGGATGGTTGGAATGTTTCACCTGAAGATAGCGCAAAAAAAAAACATACAGGTGAGTTTCCAAAGCTTTCAGCCATCAGGTGGCCCTGCATTTGTGTGGTACGCCAGTTGCACCTTTGCTGTACCCAAGCCAGAAGTGGCTCGCTGGGGTCTCACCTTGTTCAATCAACAACGTAAGCCATCAAGATGAAGACTGTGTGGGTGCTTTGGTCAAACAAGGAATCAAGGAATGACGAGATTTACCAGTACGCAGGCCGCTGAACACGTGGCGAATACATTTTGTGGAATTCTGTGCATTTGCCTCGCTGAGGGTTGCCCATGGGATACTGTACCACAAGAAAAGCATTATCAAACACAGGATCGAAGGTGTACTTTATCTACATACAGATCAGCAAACTTTATAAGCAGTTCAGCAGGTAGCCTGTCCACTACCTGTCACAACCCAGATCAACCCAGTAGCTTTGTCATGGATCGAGATGGGGAAGCCACGTCACTTCCAGAAGACGCACCTGATGGACACATTACCCACTACAGCGTCAAGACGTGCGCAAGCGACAGTCCTGAATCGACAGTGGCGGCTTTACAGTGCTATAATGGATATTGATATAAAACTTTGATATAATAGGCCATATTGTATACTAATGTATAATTTTTGCAGTTCTCAAGACTTGAAACCCATGCCGGCCATTTATTACTGTAATATGATGTACCTACCTGTGCCATGTCAGTAGTGTCGCCCATTTGGGCCCTGTCTCAGGTATGGAGGGCGCGAGGGATCGGAGAGAGCAACCTTTTCAAAGGAATTGCTTTTCAGACGACAAAGGTAAGAGCTGGCTCGAAGCAAGCTGCAGAGGTTCCTCGGTACAGTTGCTTTGTGAACCAACGAGAGGCGAACAATCAGGACAGTATAAAGACATTTCCCAAAGCAAGTCTCCAGAGTAGCCAAGCTGGCATGTTGCCCCACGCCAAGAAGTACAGTAGCAATGTTTGACAGTTTGACGGCAATAATTATATATACAACAAGTCTAAGTCAAATGCGAACCTAAAGCTCTACCCAAGCTATGCGTTGATCCGCTCAAACTCTGACTTACGGACGAGCACAGATTCTATTTGCAGGTCTGTCTAATGAGAAGATCCAAAAATGCATCAAGCCAAGAAGCACATAATATATGGCATGGTTATGTTAGGTCTCCATGCTTACGCAGCCACTTAGTGGACGCTTGACATCCTTTCAATTCGAGAGCAGGGGATCATTGGTACAGTCCGATGGTGCGCGCCACTGCAGTTCCATAATTTGGTCAAGAACAGAAGAGGCTACGGTGCCTATTAGGGACTATATATATACATTCATTGTTTTTCATTGTCTTGTTTCCTTGTTATATGTGGTTGTTGTAGGAGTATGGCTTGGCCTGCTTCCAGCCCACTGTTTATATAGGTCAAGGACCAATTCGGTTAGCACGGAGCAGCTTATTGTCGAACAAGAATGGAGACAAGCACCAGTAACTCAGTCAGAACAGTATAGGACGCTATATACTAGGAGCAAAGGGGATCGCTACTTGGAGCAAGGACGCTACTAGGGGCTCCTGGCCTTACTATTAGGAGCAAGGACGCACCAGTAACTCAGTCGGATGCGGTGATCACACTCAAATACGGCATTGTCGGCTTGCTCTTGAGGGATGATGCTGCTGCTGATGATGTTTATATGATGTTTGCATGCTGAATTCAAAAGCCTTCTATTTCTTGGATGCCATCTCTAGGAAGTCATGGCTGCTTGATCACCCCACATGTCATACATGCAATCCTCAAATCTCGCGCTTCAAGTAGTTTTGTGCCGCCCTTGAGTCCGGAAAGCTTGCCCAAATGCGAAGGTGATCGGCTAGTATTCGGTTCCCCACATGCTGGCAACTAGAAGCTCGAAGCTACATTCATGGGGATTCTTACTGTCATACTGTAGTTCGTTTAGAGCCAGGCCCGGATCGCGACTTTTCGCCTGGAACCATGGGACTCCGTAACCCCTTCAACTTTGGAACCAGGGCCAGCCTTCTGCCCAAGTGCAGCAGCTACATAACCCTTGTTGGTCTTAGTTGTGGCTCAGTTGTGGACAAATGCCAAAGAATTGCAGGTCGGTAGCTGGAAGAAAGTGCTTAAGCTGCCAAAGCCCTCAAGTATTTTTCTATAGTTACAATTATTAATCCTAGACAGGACTCATCATGTCGCAGACAGGCAGACAGGTCATTATAATCATCATTGCAGTTTCACCGAGTTTCACCTGGTTCATTGCGCGGGCTTCCTGGATTCTGATTGAATGTGGGAAGGATAAAGAAGGACGTACTGAAATTCCGCGACGAGTGCTATGAAAAGGTTCACTACCAAATCCGAAAGCGGGCAAAACGGCCCAGGCCAGGGTTGCTGTCCTACGCCGCCTAATCAAACCTAAACACTTTTTTTTTGCTGGTTCTGACTGACTCGTGCCAGACGCAGTGTCAATGACAACTTACAGCTGACGCTGGCTGGAATGAGGCACAATGTAGGCTGGCACTTTGGGCATCGAAGGAATACACATCTACAAACATTGGTTTCATATGGTTTCATTATGTTGGAAGCCATCGCTACTAGGTTGGAGGCCATCGCTATTAGGTTTCTTTATTTTCTGTATGTTCCTCATGTTTTTGGTTGCTCTTGTTGCGGCAGTTCCACGAACATGGACCCTTTTGACGTGATCGCCAAAGAACATTTTCACACCAGAATCTGTTCTGAGGGTGCAGGCTGTCGGTGGTGAAGGTGGAACGAAACGACAGGTAGAAGATGCATGCGGCAGATTTGCACAATATGATATGAACCAGTAGTGTTGCAAAATGTTGCAAAGTCATGCCTATTACTGTAACAGCATGAACAATGTATAACTGTATATGCACATATATTTTCGGAGGGCTGGCCACTGTGAGCGCGCAGTTGTTGACTTCTCTTCACAGCTCGTGATGAATTGCTTGTTCTCCAAAACTATTTGTGGCATTTTGTTCAATGCAAAGTTAGGATGGTGAATGCAATCATTTGTTGCTGAATCAAGATCGATGCGAGACACGTTTATTTTCGTTTATATAGCTTATATGTAGATTTTTTGGAGATGCAGGTGTGGAGGAAAGGGAACAGATGGCAGGGAACAGGCATGTTTTCGGTTTCGGCGTAGCCCTTTCGAAGCCCTTCCTGTTCTCAGTTTGCTTTCTCCGTGCGTCAGTAGTTTTTTTGAGTTTCTTTCCTCAGCTCTTGCAAAGTCCTATGAAATGGCTCTTACTGAACATTTAGAAGGCCAATAAGAAGGAGAAAGGAAGGCTACACAGCCATTGAGAATATAAAGGGCTCATTCAGGCTCATGGTAAGAAAGTGAAGGTTATTGGATACTCACACCTAATAAAGAACACATTCCTCAAGTAAGACTAGAAAGATGTCCTGTACATAAAGAGAGTCACTGGAAGGGCTGTTCTTTTTAGCAGAACAATTCTTGTGGAAGGGCAGTGAGTGCAATCAACAGTAGAAAGAGGCAACGTAATTTCAGAAGAGGAGGACATCAGCACAGCACATTAGCTCTGGACTGGGAAATTTGTAAGGAAGAGAAAAGCCACCCAGCGAGGACGAGCTAGTTGTATGGGAATCGGAGGACCATCGTCAGGGCCTAGTCAAAAAGCAACTGTATAGTTGTAGATCCTGGAAGAAATTTGCCATGGAAACAGGCACTCCAAGAAGTGAGATCATGTAAGACCACCTCCCTACAGCTCCTAGTCTTTTTGCTTGCTTATTATTCACTCGCTTTATCGAACTTGTCCATATGTAGCATGCAATGACAACACTACCTACCTGACCAAAACAACCTCTTGAGCTAGAAAGCGCTTCAACCCGCATCAAATACCAATGTTTGTTCGTGACTCTACGAAAAACAAGGTTCACGGCTGATGTGCCGCCCTGCAACTGTTTGCTTGTTCTTATTTGGTTGATTTCATGTTTGTGGATGTGTTATTTTCTATTTGTATTTGCAAAAGATTTGTCTTAGAAGTATCTGGCAGGTGCATCATGGTTAAGCAATTTTCCAAAGGAAATTGCTTGTATCGTATGTTTCGCTACAGAGAAATGCTAATTATTTAAGGAGTGTGGGAAAAATGTTCTTAAAAGTGTTCTTGAAGATCTGATGATAAGTGATTTGCAGTCATCCCAAGGTCCAGCCAAGAGTTCCTCATGATAACTGTTCTTAATTCGGAACACTTTGCAACTCAACACGCAAGTTTCTTTCACTTTGCAAAAGAAAACTTGCGGAGAAGTGTTCTTCCTTCGACTTGAAGATCATTACTCCGATGTGCAATTTTGAAAGCTTGCCCTTTATTTTTTGCTTTATCATCAAATTCCAGGGCAGCACACCATTGCGCCATCTACAAGTCCCCACAGCCCGGAAAACTGTCAAAGTTTCCGGCCCAGAACCTCGCCCTGTTGTTTGCGTGTGGAGGCCTCATGTCAGAACCACAGATAGCGCGATGCCAATCAATGCATAGGCATAGGTTTCAATTCAGCAAATCTCAGTCTGGCCCCCCAGCTTGCCAGACCTGCATTTGGACGCTGCACCAAAGATGGCGCAATACTGAAAGATGAATTCGAGCACGGGTGCCTACCTTTGTTCTACTTGCAATCATAAAACCCCGCAGTTATAGCAATTTTTGTCCTCAGCAATGCTAATTGGGGTAGAGGTGGAATGCACCATCTACTGGACCATCTGCAGAATCTACGTACAAATCGTGCTTTTGTCCAGGTGCAACCTTAGATCTCGAGTCGAGTCTTTTAATGCGGAGCGGAGTTTGCGTGATTTCTAGCTCAAAGATGATTCCATTGCACATTTGTTGTTGAGCCATTTGTGAATATGCCGGCTACCATCGGCTACCCCTGAGTTGCGCCAACAATTTTATCAGTAGAGTTGGATGTTGCATAGAAGCAACGGTAATTGAAAGAAGCGCGTCGTAATACACAAAGGAAAGCACAGTGAGGCAGGCACGTATAAAATGTACATCCTGACATCGTTACACGGACGTCATTAACCCCCAACCCCCACGCACCCCACCCCACCCCACCCCACCCCACCCCACCCC